TACTATTTGACTCCCGGCCTTTATTACAACGGCTTGTATTTGTTTTCTGTTTAACACCGCACTGAGCAATATTCCAGCTATAAGGTGGTTGGTTGATTTGCTGTTTAACACCGCACTGAGCAATATTCCAGCTATATGACGGCGGTCTGTAAATAATCGAATATGGACCAGACAATCCAGTGATTAATATCATGAGCAACGATCGACGCAATTGGGATTGATGACATGCATCAACCAATTGAGCGAGCCTGAACACCCTATCCCGTTAGTCGCCTTTTACGACACGCATAGTCACCTTTTACGGCAAGTATGGGTTGCTGAAGACCTATTCTACCCTGGAATCTGTATGGGTCTATAGATATAGGAAGACAGTCTGTGAATAATCGATTCTGAACCAAAACGTCCAGTGACATCATGAGCATCGATCTACTTAATTTGGATGCGATGACATGTTATCAGCCAAGTCAGCGAGCTTAACCACCCATACCTGTTAGTCATCTCTTACCATACACATTGGTTGCTGAAGATCTATCCTAACCGGTCAGTATTCTTCCCCCGTCTGGTGACCTGTGAAATGGCGTGCATGCTTAGTGTTGGAACATTGTCATGAATACTGGATGATTTGCGAGTACTTATTTTGTTGTTGTAAAACACACCCGATAATGATGTTACACATTTATTAGAATTTGAATAGTTAAAGGATGATGCAGAAAGGGGAAGGCAAATAAGAAGTTGGATTCAGTTTGAAAATCCGCCTAAGTATTTTGTCACATGGAAAACTGAACTTACACAAATAAGACTATTAATAATTTAATTTTAACATATGACAATGGTTAAAGTGTCACTGAAGGATACAAAATAATAGGAAACACACTTTTGAAATCAGACAAGTATTAGATGGTGTCTATAATCACTTGCGGATAGCATTGAAAAACCTAATGAACTCGTAAAAGTTGTAAACAAAAGGCCTTGCCTGAATGTGTCCCCAGTTGATTGTGTTTCATTCTTTTAGAATGACTTAGGTGTGTGGGTTTTTAGGTATGTATAAAAAAATCAGATTAATCAGATAATCTTAACTATGGTTCGAGGAATAATTACATGTATTCCGAAAAAAGATCCAGAAGGTTTCTGAGAAACAGGCGACCGATTGCACAATTTTAAGCTCTTGTACAGAAACCAGAACTAGGAAAACGTTGGGCACATTAATTCTTAGTAACCAAACCGGAAGCTGGTCTGAGAATGATTGAAACCTGCAAACATATTAATTTGTTGATTTTTATATTCATTTTTAAGGAGAAGTTTACAAAAAACGACCTTGTCAACATTGAAGAATTTTCAATCAAAATATATTTTCCTTGTTGGGTGCAAATATTGTTAAGTTTCTTACTTTTGAAAATCCCTTTTGAAGGGATATATTTAATAGTTGGTGTAATTATTACAGAAAACATAAAGTTAACAAACAAACGGTTGAAGAACCAATATTTTTCGATCACTGATCTAAAAATAATTTCATCTTAAAACATTGGTTTGATAAGGGTATTGATTGTTTAAAAGATTTATGTAGCAACAACAGATCTTTAACATTTGAAGAATTGCAAGACAAATTTCAAACCAAAGGTACTTTACTTGATATAAAGCATCCCTAAATTATGGACAAAATAATGAATGGCCGATATTGAATCACAGTTAATTTAAAGAGAAATATCCAAATTGTTAATAAGAAGAAAGTGCTCCAGATTATTTTGTGATAAACTCATAGCTTCCACTAACTTTTCTCTGATGTGTGCCAAAATCTTAATCAAAGCATTTTGTGGAATGTTTTTACTAACTGTAAAATATGTACCAATGATGTGAAACTAATAGATTTCTACTACAAATTCATAAATATAGCTCTTTATACCCAAAAGTAATGATTGAAAATAAATTAAATTGATGATAGTATATGCTCAGATCAAAACGTATACCATGTATACGTAGAATGTGTTTTTGGAATTGTGGTACCTGAACACGAAACGTGCATATGATCTTCATTTCACCAGTACAGATAACTTACTTTTCTACAGCAAAAATAACTGTCATTTCAACCCTTTACTTCTTCTTGCAAAACAATACATTCACCAGTCAAGTATTAAGAAAATCCCATATAGTTTCCTTCCTTCAGCAAAAAATATTGAAAGATATAGTAAAAATGAAAATAAATTATTGCAATGAAAACTAGTGGTATTATTAATTTTGACAGCCTGCTTATTTTTTTTACATCAGTCAGTCGAATATACGTATAGTGCCCATATCTTGGTCATGTTTCATGAACCTTTGAATTGCTACACTTATATACCTCATGTACCTATGTTACAGATATATGTCTAATGAATTGAAACATAAAATATTTAACAAAAAAAAAAAAGGTTTTGTAAATTGTAGCTGCTGAATACACGTAAGGCTTTGGTTTTTTTCCACAGCAGGTGTCCAAAACCTAGAAGTAGTAGTAGTAGTAGTAGTAGTAGTAGTAGTAGTAGTAGCAAACATGGTGTATGGGGAGTAGTGGTGTCAAATGTCCTTTCTGCATCATTGCTTCCCCATAATTCACTGGTTCTCGACAAACAAATAAAAGAAGGCACATTGATACAGATGCTGCAATATCTTCTGATGAGTGTTCTGTACAAAATGTTGATTCTGAGCCACGATTTCTGGTTGCTGAAGGGGTTGTTGGTGAGCCCCTCAAACTCAATCCTTTTGTAGCTTCAAATTCAATTGAAGGTATGTGTGGTACTATGACAACTGTTACTACTATCTTTTCTGGTTCACTGCATGTGGAGTGTGCAAAGAGACAGCAATCTTCGAATCAATTAAGCCGATCATTTTGAGAATACAGAGCAGAGATTGGTGCATCAAGGTGCATCTTAGGTAAAACAACTAGTTACACAGGAAAGATCATGACAGCATCTTAATAACAAATATGTACCCCTTTACATTTACCCCAACTAAGCTTCCTTCATCAATGCCGGATATTTCAACATCGAAATTGAATTGTATATGACAAACACACTCTGTTTATTTAAATACCAATAATTTGGACATGGAGCAAAAGCCTGTCGCCATACCCAAGTTTGCTCTTGCTGCAGTCAGACCCATGATAGCTCCTCTGACTGCATGGATACCATCAAATGTGCACACTGCAGTGGTGATCACATGTCCACTTCAAAATCATGTCCTCTTTTGTAGCACAGACACAAAGTCTTTTCAGACGCGAAGAAACTTGTATCAACCACTTCCACTTTTTCACTGACCTTTTCTGATGCCATCTCCTCTTCCCTTGTCAAGGCTGATAATCGTTGTCAAACAGCTTTTAACGGGGTGTCGAATGATCAGAAAAAATATTGTATCAAATTGATGCTGATGCAAACAGGTACATACTTAGATGACGAAGAGTGCTCAGCCAACTTTTCACCAAGTAACATCTGATTTATGAATAGTTATAGTGAATAACTAGATTAAGTTCCCTTTTTGGATCAAGTTCCATACCTTGGACATTGGACTTTGTTAATTTTTTTCAGAGTTTTATTTGAATAAATGTACGCCAATCGATTAGCGGTGGTACCCGTTTGCTGTAGACGCGTCTGCAAATAATAAACAGTCCGTCGACTACAACCTATCGTCCTTGCGACTTCAGCTTCGGACGTTCCCGTCTGCAACATGCCGATGACACGTTCACGTTGCACATTTGAAAGGCGTGGCATGACAAATGGCCGTAAAGACTTTTGTTTTCTTGTGTTTTTCTTTTTTCGTTAATCACTGCTGACAAGTATGGCTGAAAACACGTGCGGTATTATGGCCACGTGACCAGTTGCACGTGAAAAAAATCACTTTTGCCACTATAGTGCCGTGCACATGATTTTGATCAATTTACCTGCACATAAACGGGTGTTATCTGAAGACAAAACGTAGTCATTACTGTTTAAATACACAATAAGGGCCAGCAATGATAACTGGTCAAAATGTTAAAATTTTAGGATTGTGAATTTTTTAGTTTGATTCAGTATAGTTTCAAACGTAATCGCCCCACTTACTGAATAATGTTAATAGATACGCGTGCTATAAACTATGCCATCTAATGGAGTATGTCACTAAAGAGATGCATGAAACAGGTTCGATCAATTACGACCGTAACAGTTTCACCTGTTCAGTTCTATAACAATTCCATTATTAATACTTTGGCTACAATAGACGACGTTTTGTCTAATAATACTCCACTTCTAGGACTATGCATATGAAACTTGAGCACCGATCTACGAAATAGGGATACAATGACATGCATCAAACTATTCAGACAACCATGATCCCGGTATTTATGTGTATATTTGTGTGTGCGTGTGTGCGTGTGTGTGTGTGCGTGTGCGCGTGTGTGTGTGTGTGTGTGTGTGTGTGTGTGTGTGTGTGTGTGTGTGTGTGTGTGTGTGTTTATGCGTATAGCATGTGTAACTCGATATGTATGTTGTGTTTGTGTCAATGTGTGCGTGCGTGCGTGCGTGCATGTGTGTGTGTGTGTGTGTGTGTGTGTGTGTGTGTGTGTGTTTATGCGTATAGCATGTGTAACTCGGTATGTATGTTGTGTGTGTGTGGGTGTGGGTGTGTGTGTGTGTGTGTGTGTGTGTGTGTGTGTGTGTGTTTATGCGTATAGCATGTGTAACTCGGTATGTATGTTGTGTTTGTGTCAATGTGTGTGTGTGTGTGTGTGTGTGTGTGTGTGTGTGTGTGTTTATGCGTATAGCATGTGTAACTCGGTATGTATGTTGTGTGTGTGTGTGTGTGTGTGTGTGTGTGTGTGTGTGTGTGTGTGTGAATATGTGAAGTAACTGTTACCAGCATCATATCATAATCGCGGGAAGATTAGTTTTGAGCAGTACTGTAGGTTGCGTTCGTCATATATATTGTACAAACGTGACACTCAGTCTGTCTGTTACTGCTTCCACAGAAACATATGCGGTGCACTATGTTCTCAGTGGCTGTGCCTGTGTTGATACTACTGGGGGCCTCACCACAAGAAGCAACAGTACTTGGAAGAGGTTTTAAGAAAATTGACAAACCTTTTGATGATAAACTAACGGCTTTACACGAAGTTGGTGCTGTATCTCTCTTGAAATGCAATGTAGAATGCAGTGTTCTTCCCGGATGTCTCGCCCTGGAGTACAAGCGTAACACCTCCCACTGTACCATGTACGGCCACCTCAGTGTGACAGACGGGAGTCCAGTGTCAGTGGGCCGAGTCTCAGATGATGCATGCAGATATGCAACTTTGGACAGTAAGTGGAATCTCATTTCACTGTGCTCATGTCAGTTAGATAATTTGCAATGGCTATTCCCAACCAGCTGATGCTGATGTGTAAGGGTGTCTGAAATGTGGATTGAAAGTTAACAACCCAATCCATTATGAAGCCTCTTACAACCTTCATAGTATTCTAAGGATATATTCTAACTCTCATTCGCCACTACCATGTCGTTTAGATGATTAAAATTAACCATTGGATTGGTAATAGCCGAATTTACTGATGACATACACCCGTTTGCCTAGTTCAGAGTTCCATAGGGGTGGGGTAGCCTTGTGGTTAATCTTGTTAGGCCAATGACCCCGTTCGATTCCCCGCAGGCGTACAATGTGTGGAAACAATTTCTTCACTCCCTCCCTCCCTCACTCACTCATAGGCCGCAATGACCAGATCAACGATTCAGCTTTCGAGGACTATATCCCGTCTAACCAATTTGAATGGTCGCCTTTCACTGATATAATAGATGGACGGATTGGTAAGGTTGAAATACATGTTAGAATTAACAAACTTAAGGCTAATAGGGCGGCTTGGGAAGTTTACACAATTGTCAAAATGTTAAATTTACCAGGTAATTTTCTTTTCAAGATTTTTTTTTTCAATTCTCAAAATGATAATTGGGAGTTTCCTGTGTCGTTGTCAAAAGCTATCATTACCCCATATTATGAGGGGAGATAAAACCTTACCTGAAAATACTACATCTCTTCCAAGTGTTATGAGCTGATATATAAAATACTCCGTTCAATCTTCACTCATTTAATCATCATAACTATAGTGTGCCTGAGAGTTAGAACATGACTGTGCTCTCTTTCTCTCTCTCTCTCTGATTTCAGAAAATGCGTGATTTCATAAACAAACAAAAAAATAAATAAACATGCCAAAATGTCAATTCACAAATCAATAGTGTATGTCAACCTCTGGTTGCGATGCAAGCAACAAATGTTCTTCTCATAGAATGGACCAGGCGTCGCACAAATTCCTGTGGGATAACCGTCCATATCTGCTGGAGCACGTTTCAAAGTTCCTGGAGTGTCTGTGGAACACGTGGTTGACGTCGAAGGCGCCGATGCATCTCATCCCACATGTGCTCTATTGGTGAGAGATCAGGGGAGCGAGCTGGCCAGCGGATGACATTCACGTTGTTGTATTGAAGAGACCTGAACAAGTCGAGCAATATGAGGCCGGGTGTTGAAAGGTAATACCTGGGCCATGACGACGCAAAAACGGTAGAACAACAGGGCCGGTGTTTTCATCGATTATTGGTTACGCGTGGCCTGCCACTCCTTTGATGGTCTTTGACTGCATTCCCCTGTTGCCAATGTTGCCATAAACACCAAATGGTGTTTCTGTGGACGTTAAATTGTCTTGCAACATCACGTTGACTCAATCCTACTTCAAGCATACCAATGGCTCGCAGACGCTCATTTTCGGACAGACGTGGCATTTCGTAATGTTGGATATTTGCGTAATTTTTGTTGTTTTTCTGAGTGGTTGTCAGCACGATGCTAAACAATGCATATGGAATCCCGTTAACATATGTTTTTTATACCCATTCTTGGGTAGTGAAATGCATGGGGCTTGCATAAAAGTCATCTTTTGCATGGAATGCATGTTTTTCTTTAGAGTTGCGTTTTTTGTGACTTGATTCCATTCATGTACTAAAATACTGTTTGAAATACTTGTTTGAAAAATGCACTAAAATATTGGTGTCACAGGAACTTTTGTTGTTGAGTATATATTTGCAGTCAGTTGGCCTATTACTGTTTCGTTATGTGAGTGAGTTCTGTGTTCAACATTCAGCTGAAGAAAAGGGATACACGACTTTCCATGTTGAGGGGGGCGAGATCCATCTGAAGAGATACAATGTGGGACGTACATGGGACGGAGCCTTAGAGATGTGCAGGTCTGACGGCGCCACACTGGTCAAGATAGACACCGTGGAGAAACAGTACATCGTCAGAAGCTTGTTCAACTTCAACTATGAAAAGACAAGTAAGTGACACTGACAGCACAGCTTCTGAATTCTACAGGTTTCTGGTTTCAACATGTGTGAGACTAAAACCCGACATATCCAAGTCTAAGCAACACATTCTTGCCATAAAAGGCGACTATGCTTGTCGTAAGAGTCGAGAAACGCGATAGGGAGGTACGGCTCGCTGATTTGGTTGATTCATGTCATAGTATTCCAAATGCGTAGATCGATGCTCATGATGTCAATGACTGAAGTGTCAGGGGACAAGATTCGATTATTTACAGATCGCCTTCATATAGCTGGAATATAGTTGGAACAAAAGATGTGTCAGTCACACAAACCAATCAATCACAGCCTCTAGTCCGCCATTACCCTCGTCTGCCCCCTTCCATCAGTTACACAGTAACATAAGTGACAAACCGTTCAATCACCACCTTCTGTAAAGCATATTCTCCCGTCAGTCATACAGTTCTGTCAGTCACACAAACCAATAAGTCAGCCATTCCGGTCAATCACACTCTTTCGTCAGTCACACCCTCTCGTGATTTACGCTAAACATTTAGTTTAATCACGCCCTCTCGTCAATCACACCAACAAATAAGTCACAAACGTCCGTCACTCACATCCATCCTCTAGGCATAACCTCCAGAAAAAACAAAATATCGATACTGTCGCGTCTTCACATCATTTCGCCACTCACTCACCCCTCCATCTCACTCTCCCGTCAGTCACACCTTTCCCTCATACCCTCCAGTTGGTGTTTCAGAGGAGCCCTGGATTGGACTGCGGGACACAACCAGGTCAAACGTCTACAGATGGACTGACGGTTCCGTCCCGACGTACACGAACTGGTACAAAGGGCAGCCAAGCTTTACATATGAAGGCCATGACGAGGACTGTGTCCAGTTCCTTTCACAGATGTTTGGGTCTGCATGGAACGATGATGACTGTAGTAAAATACGCTGGTTTGTGTGTGAAATGTGATTTGAACATGTTCACCAAATAATGCCTGCAGCACCTGCCTATCCAATCATCGTTCATCAGGGTAGAATGTCAACAGACAGACAAGCATTTCTGTTATAGCATGGCGTGAGAAGTGATGCAGATCTTAGACATAAGCAACTTTTCACATACACATCTATCCCTCTTACATTTAACTCTCTGTCACTAAGTACCAAGCCTCATCAACCAGTGTAACTGACGGCACTAATATCCCGTGGAGATGGGACAAGAAAGGACAGATGCCTTGTTGTGTGAAGGAGATGTCATGTCGATCTTTCACATACCCAGAAACATATCAGGGACTCAGGGCCGAGTAGGGTGCAACCCGTGGATGAACAGGAATATCCCAAAGCCCAACCACAGATTAACTGTAGTCATATGAAACAAGCGCGAGTTGTTTAGCTTCTTTTGAGTAGTATATATATAAGACAGAACTACTTGTATACTATCGAGTTGTTTCAGTTAGCAATTCCAAACTTAATGTTAACTAAATATAACCCTTAAATTAAAGTATTATGCTACTTTTGTTTTATACAAAGTCGTTAGATCAGATTATAAATTTGTTTGAGTTGATTGGAAAATGTTCGTCATTCAGTTTGCGTCCATGTTTAATCAGTCAGGGTTGCCTATCGTGGAATTTCAATTCCTGCTGTAGAACCCGGCTTTTCGCGTGCTTTGGCAAAGTCACTGGAGCCCGCATAAAAAGACTTATAACATCCTGTGTACTGTGATTCCCTGCCTTCATTACCGCCAGGAGACACGTCAAGTTGAATGTGTGTGAACTTGAATGTATGTGATATAAAAACTGATTGTTTGATTGAAAATTATTTTGGAAACTTCAAAATTTTAGTGTTTTTATGTTTCAGTGTATTTTATTGGTTACCAAAGATTCTTACTGAGTTACATTGTTATTGTTGAGATTCGGTAGAAGCTCATTGCGTTGTATTTGGACTGTTATTAGTCGTCAGGAATGTTGTGCAATTTAATCTAAGCAGTCAGGAAGTTGCTTTACTAGTATTTAGATGCTACAGAGGGGTGTAAACTTCCACAAACGGCGAGACTGGTCTCGCATTGTATAGGGTCTTACAGCAGTGGACAAGTGGGTCAAGAATACGTGTGCCTGATCTCTCACACATTCTGTCTCACACCTATCTTCATCAAGTCAAGACAAGCTTTCATGTGAGGATCGCCGATCGTCCCTAAATTCCTTGTCTAGCCCATCTCGGAAGCTTGACCACTGTCACTGCTGGGTGAATATATATTATTATCACTGACATCAGCTAATCACCTTTGTATTGTGTATTTGACACTGACCAATGCATTTGGCTTGTTTTTCTAATGATCGGATGCCTTTGTGATGTGTGATTTTTATCCTCTAATGAAGCTATAATGATTGTGGGTGAATTCCGACCTTCTCATAGAGGTTACCCATGCATGGGAAAAATTATACACGTAGAAATAAATCATTCCCGGCATTAACCAGGTGAGGACAAAATGTGGTAAATACAAAATTATCACATAGAGGCGGCGTAAATAAAGTTGTTTCGTTATTTTCTTACGCCTTAATGCCAGATAACATTATCAAAACATAAATTGGTTTTGCAAATTCTGAAAACACGGGAACAGGATATCCTTTACACACTATATTGCCTGTTAGATTCACTGTGCACAGGTGTTTACATGTATATTTCATCGTTTCTGCTGTTCTTTATTGGAAATAAAATTACACTGTGGTGTCATGGCTATTGCTGCGTATTTGAATCCCGTCCTTCATTACAACGAGGTGACTTGTATTTGTTTTCTGTTTAACACCGCACTGAGCAATATTCCAGCTATAGGTTAGTTGGTTGGTTGGTTTGTTGTTTAACGCCGCACTGAGCAATATTTCAGCTATATGACGGTTGTCTGTAAATAATCGAGTCTGGACCAGACAATCCAGTGATTAATATCATGAGCATCGATCCAAGCAATGGGGTTGATGACATGCATCAACCAAGTCAGCGAGCCTGACCACCCGATCCCATTTGTCGCCTTTTACGACAAGCATAGTCACCTTTCACGGCAAGTATGGGTTGCTGAAGACCTATTCTACCCTGGAATCGTCATGGGTCTCCACATATAGGAAGACAGTCTGTGAATAATCAATTCTGGACCAAAAAATCCAGTGACATCATGAGCATGGATCTTCTTAATTGGGATGCTATGACATGCTATCAGTCAAGTCAGCGAGTTTAACCACCCGTTCCCATTAGTCGCCTCTTACCATACACATTGGTTGCTGAAGATCTATCCTAACCGGTCTGTATTCTTCACGGGTCTGGTGACCTGTGAAATGGCGTCTATGCTTAGTGTTGGAACAATGTCATGAATACTGGATGATTTGTGAGTACTTGTTTTGTTGTAAATGTTGTAAAACACACCCGATAATGATGTTACACATATATTAGAATTTGAATAGTTAAAGGATGATGCAGAAAGGGGAAAGCAACTAAGAAGTAGGATACAGTGGGAGAAGCCGTCTAAGTATTTTGTCACATGGAAAACTGAACTTACACACATAAGACCAATAATAATTTAACAAATGCCAATGGTGAAGGTGTCACTGAAGGATACAAAATACTGCCTGAACAGAAAGAACTTTACAAAATCCTGTATTCATCTAGAGTTCTAATAGGGAACACACTTTTGAAATCAGACAAGTATTAGATGGTGTCTATAATCATGTGCAGATAGCATTGAAAAACCTGCTGAAATGTTTTAACTCCTAAAAGTTGTAAACAAAAGCCCTGGCCTGATTGTGTCCCCAGTTTTTCATTCTTTTGGAATGACTTAGGTGTATGGGTTTTTAGGTATATATACAAAATTCAGATTAATCAGATAATCTCAACTATAGTTAAAGGAATAATTGCATGTATTCTGAAACGAAACAAAGACAGAAGGCCTCTGAAAAACAGGCGACTGATTTAACAATTTTAAGCTCTTGTATAGAAACCAAAATTAAGAAAACTTTAACATTAAAATGCAAAACATTAATTCATAGTAACCAAACCGACTTCATACCTTGTCCATGGATAAGTGAAACTGACAGAAGCATGTATAATTATCATGTGTGTAGCTGAAAGAGCAAAATAGGGCAGGACGTTTATTACTGTATGTTTTTGATGAGGGTTTTGACACAGTTTCCAAACGATTTATTGACTTGGTTATGAAATAATTTGGTTTCAGACCAAATATCATGAAATGGGTTTTTATCTTAAATAAGAATGCATCATAGACCATACCATATGGATATCTCTCCAGTTTCTTTTCAGAACCAAAGAGGATGTAGGCAAGAAGACCCACTTTAACCATTACTTATTTTGCTTGTAGCTTAGATACCAGGAATAATGATTAGGAATAAGAAAGGCTTAAAAGGAATAACAATAAACGATGTGGAGTATACATCAGGTCAATATCTAGATGATACACAATAAGGTTTAGATGGCTCTGAAGAGTGTCTTAGAGCTGCATAGATACTTTGAATATATTTTACAGAAACTCTGGCCTTGAGGAAGATATAGACATCACTAAAGCTATATGGGTAGGTTCAATGGCACGAAGCAGCACCAAACTCTGTTAGGACACAACAATATACTGGCATGAGGGAAACTTTGAAGCTTTTGAATAATATTTAGTCCCACGTTACCAGTCTTTGGGTAATCAATACAAGAACAAACCTCGAACATATTTACAGGTTATTGGGGAGCTAGAAAAAACCACATTGAATATTAAAAGGTAAAATCACATTTAATAAGACTCTGGCTCAGTCAACATCAGCACTTTCAAACCCACCCAAGGTTATATTTCGAATTTGAATAAACTTTTTATATATATTCATTTGGAATTATAAATCAAACCAAAGCAATCCGCTTTGAATAGGAAAAATGAAGAAGCTGGTCTGAGAATGATTGAAACCTGCAAATTTATTAATTCGTTGATTTATTGATTTATGTTTAAGGAGAAGTTTACAAAAACCGACCTTGTAAACATTAAATCATTTTCAAACAAAGTATATTTTCCTTGTTGGGTGCAAATATGGTTAAGTTTCTTACTTTTGAAAATCCCTTTTGGAGGGATATATTGAATAGTTGGTGTAATTATTACAGAAGTTGTCAAACAAACTATAGAAGAGATTTTATCAGAGCCATTATGGTTAGATGACCGATCTAAATATAATTTTATCTTAAAGCATTGGTTTGATAAGGGTATTGATTGTTTAAAAGACTTATGTAGCAACAACAGAACTTTAACATTTCAAGAATTTCAAGACAGATTTCAAAGCAGAGGTACTTTACTTCATTTATTAAGTATCCCTAAATCATGGAAAAAATAATGAATGGCAGATTTTGAATCACAGCTAACTTATACAGAAGTAACAGTGTGAGAGACTTGTTGATGAGAACAAAAGGCTCCAGATTATTATATGATAAACTCATAGCAACAACTCACGTTTCTCTAATGTGTGATAAATGGAAAAATCTTAATCTAAGCATTTTGTGGAAAATGTACTAACTGTAAAATGTGTACCAATGATGTTAATCTAATATATTTCCACTACAAATTCATAAATATAGCTCTTTATACCATAAAGTAATGACTGAAAATACATTTAATTGATGATAGTATATGCTCTGAATCTCAAAACATACCTTATATATGTAGAATGTGTTTTTCGAATGTTGGTACCTGAACACGAAACTTCTTCTTGCATTCACCAGTCAAGCATTATACTTTCCTTTCTCCATGAAAAAGAAATATTGAAAGGTGTGTGTAAAATTGAAAACAAATTAGTGCAATGAAAAATAGTGGTATTAATGAATTTGACAAAATGGAAAGAATTATCAGCCTGCTTATTTTTTTACATCAGTCAGTCGAATATATGTATGGTGCCCATATCTTGATTATGTTTTAAGATCCTATGAATTGCTACACTTATATACCTC